CCCCCCCCACCCAATAGATTGTTGGTGGTTGAATGTCCTTTCACCTTCACTTTCCCCCTGAAAGTGTGCAAGTGAGTGCTAAGTGCGCAAGTGAGGTAAAGTGCGCAAGTGAGGTTATTTGGGGGTGCGCAAGTGAGTGCTTGGCCGTCCCGGGCGAAAGGGCTCCGGTCGTTCCCGCTTTTTCGTTGGCCAGGTGAAGATCTGTGATCCTGGGCAGGCCAATGCCTGGAAGACCAAACAGTTCCTGGGTTCGGCGGCCCCCCTGTGAGCATTTGCACTGATGAGTTGCGCGCTATTGTTGAGGTGGGGGGCGTGGTTGGATTTGGAAGCCCCCCTGCTGGTGCTGGTGGTCAAGGATGCTCCGAAGGTTTTCAAGCCCACCTCCTCTGGCTTCGATCCCCAACTCCTCGTGCCTCGATCCACTACCTCCGCTCAGGCGGTGCATTTCCAGGCAGACTCCAAGGGCTACGAGGTGCCAGTTGGATTTCACGGCCTGGTCGGCTTTGGCCTTAGTGAAGTTGGAGACCTTGCAAAGGGCGACAAGCGGAAGACAGGCCCCACGGCAAACCTTGAGGGGGTTGTATGGTGGAACGCACCTGTTTGGTTGGAAACGTTCGTAAAACAACAACAGCACAGTCTAATGGTCATTGACCCGGTTTCTGTTGGCTCATAGTCGCCCGAGACATCAGAAAGCTTGACCTGACTCCTGAAAGCTGAGTACCCTAGGTACCTAGTGTAGGTGGTGGGAAGATGCAAATCAGAACACTGAGTCGCACGACTCCACTCCTCCTCTGGAGCGTTGGAACCCGCACGCCGATGACACGGCGCCGGAACACCTGAGGCAAGTCCTTCCGACCTCCGGAGCTCCACGAGCACAAGCCGTACTTGGCCACAAAGGTGGACTCCTGGTGTTTAGGCATGCGGCGGTTTGGACACGGTGTTTCGGGTGCGTTGGAGGAGGGATTTGTGAGGAAATGGGTGGCATTCGGCCTTGGAGTATTGGAGTGCAAGAGTGGAAGGCTTTCGGATCAAAATATCCGACCAATCTTATGAGGAGCTTGGTTTGATTGACGGCCCTTCGATTCCCAATGTGTCTAAGTAATTAGTCATGAGTCATGTGGAGGTCCAAGAGTCAGTTCTGGCGACTTGGTTCATGCAGGTTGGAGTACCTTCTACTTGCTCACGGCACAGCCGCTCTTTATGAGTGCCGATCCGGTCCAGAAGGATGGTGCGGAAGTGTGGGGAGCTTGGGGAAGCGTGCATTTTCGAAAGACTTTTGATGGTGTTTGGGGAGGTCACAGGCACAGTGCAGATTCCATTGAACATTGGTTCCTAAGTCAGAGCAACAATATAACGCTGGCAGGGTCGTATTGTGAGACAACAGACGCCATTAACAGTTTAGTCAGCAGTTGGCATGTAGCTTCAAGGAAACCGTTGGAGCAGAAGTGTTGATGGACTCCAGCACGCCCGCTAATGCGCCAGGTTGCTACCAGAAAGCACATTTTTCTCTCCAATGCGCAGTTGTTGTAGATGTGTTGGGGTCCCTCCAGTTGTGGTGGCTTGGAGCTGCCTTTGTAGTTCAATTTAAAGGGTTTTGAGACGTTTTGAGATGTTTGGACCATTCCGGACCTATTGAACAACATTGAACAACCAATAGGACAGAGTCGACAGAGCTTTGGTATGTTTTGGTATGTTGAAGGCTTCTCAGCCAACAAGTGTCACAAAGAGCTTGCTTTCCCCTTGGTGTCCCTTAGCCCCCATGGCCCATGCAGGACAGCGATTGGCATCTCTTCCGGCTCGGGCCGTCAGATTTGCACGTGTTGGGTGCCATGTTGCACATCTATATATAAGCGTGCAGAGCAAGCACCTTGTTTGAGCCCCTACAGCAAAAATGGATCACAGGAAAACTGAAGGGACATGAAATGAAGAGTGCTACTCAGTACTCACCGGACCGATGAAGATGGATCAGATCTTATTTTGCCACCTGGGTCGTCAATACGGCACCACCGATGTGGCCAAAATCACAAGGGGAGTGTCCATGCCAAAGGTTTTGCATGCGAGGATCCGACCAAAGGACCCTTGGTTTTAGTAGAATCACGTGCCCCAGATACATGACTATAGTTCATTTCTTAGTGGGTCGGCAAACTCGAGGAATAACAAGTTTGACGAGCTCTTTAAGACGAAAGTGCCGAACTTTTCGCGCCTCGGCGTGAGAAGCTGCCGGCTGATTGCTGCATGCTCGTGATCGTCACGGGAATGTTGGTTGCTGAGTGTTCCTGAACAGATTGCATTTGGGGCATGCAGCAGTGGTGGACATTGTGAGAGAAATGGGCTGATCAGGTTGGATTCAACCTCGAAACTGGTCAAAGACATGGACGTGGACCATCCTAAAACGATAGATTTATGATTTATGTGTTTTCTTTCAGATTCAGTACTTTACATTTGCTCGTGTCGATTCACTGTCGCGTACTTTTTGGGGCACATTAGGAACCCACACGAAATTCCAGGAGAACCCATCATCTCGCTCTACTGGCATTTGTGGGTTCCAGAAAAACGAAGGAAGAGAGAAACCAAGTGCGGATGGAACATGCTGGAATCTTTAGATGGTTTTGATCAGCTCAGGACATTAATTTACTTTCGAGTTTTGTTGTGGACTATTGATTATTGTTTTGGAAAGGACGTCAGCACCCGAAAATAACAATAAACTATTTTGAGGGGCAAGGGACAAGGGATATCTTATTTTTTGGGGGGGTGGTGTTCAAAAAATCAATATAAGCCCTATAATGAGCCGAGCTGTCATGTACGATTCAGACTTCGGGGAGGGACAACAGGATTCTAGATGGTTTTAGTATGCAATGGCAACACCCTTTGCTTCCACACTTTTGCACATGGAGGCATTGGAACAAGTTGGGCTTTCAGCCTCCCGTGGAGTACTCCACACATGCATGTTGATCCGGGCTAAACATGAAGTTGTGACGTGGCCCTTCTCGCAGCTGTAATTTTCCTGGTGTGTGTGTGGGCATGAAGGCCTACCAAACAAATTGCTCTGGCACACCGATGGTCCCCGACTCCAGTGCCTTCAACAATTACTATAGTGAGGTGCTTTGTTTGGACGGTTCTTACCATGCGCACACCACGAAAATTCTCCCCAAGTGAGGTGGATCAAGTCATCTACGTTTTTCAAAAACTGCATATACCATGTATGCATTTTGAACTTTATATTGAGAAACGCATGGAAATAACTTCACATAGGACTCTGCTTAGCACCGGGCCACTGAGCCACACCAAGGGCCACGGGCATCGATTTCATCTTCAAACTCATGCAGATGGAACCCTCCAAGCGGATGTCCATCGCTGATTGTTGCAACTTGGCTGAACACCAGAGGCATCATTATATAGTGTGGTCAGGAATGTGTGGCCTTGCCAGAAACCTGTTTGCATAGTGGCTGGCTCAACAGGATCCCAAAGATGCCATGGCACTGAGCAAAGGCGGTGCTTCAAAGCACAAACTTGGCAAGTACGAGGTCACACGCGGTGCTTCAAAGCACCAACTTGGCAAGTACGAGGAGGCCATTGCGGACTTCGACATGGCCATCAAGCTGGATCCCAAATTTGCCGTGGCACTGTACAAACGCGGGGCTTCAAAGCACATGCTTGGCAAGTACGAGGAGGCCATTGCGGACTTTGACATGGACATCAATCTGAATCCCAAATATGCTTTGGCACTGGACAAACGCGGTGCTTCAAAGCACATGCTTGGCAAGTACGAGGAGGCAATTGCGGACTTTGACATGGCCATCCAGCTGAACCAGACCGTCCAACTATTTCAATCTCATGGGAATATTGCCAAGTTGGCAGCTCAGGCATATTTCCACCTTGGGTATTCCAAGCAAATCCTTGGCAGGTATTGGCACGCGGAGGCAATGAAGGACTACGGCAGGGCCAGCGAGCTGGATCCCAAGCATGGCGAATACCGTGACCGGTTGGTGGGAGCCACGCAAGACTCTGCTTGTTTGGGTGATACTTGGAAGGCCGTGCTGGCACTGGGGCTAGTCGTGTTCATTTTCCTCCGCATTTTTTGCAGGTGGTGCATCCGTGGTTGCCGTGGGTTGTGCAAGTTTCATGCAGCACCTTTCAGTCGCACCATTTCCAACCAAATTGAGGCGGGGAAGGTGGATTCCAAAAGCATGCAGGCATCCAGCATTTATACCAGTTCGAGGTTTCCTGATAGCCATGAAGCTAGCAGCTCCTCCTCTGATTGCTCCTCAGACTCCTGGGTTCATGTGTTCTCTCCAGACACCTGCTTCACGGTTTTGCTTCCAGATGGGCCAGTTCTCGCACCTGCCAGCTCCTTGTATCAGGGTGCTCAGGTTGTCGCCGCCGAGGGCCGCATTACGGAGGTCGCTTATCCACCGGAGCAGCATCAAGTGCATGCCGTCATCGAACTCCAGGCAGGAGACACATCCTTGGTTGTCAGCCGCGATCACCGCATGTGCGTTCCAGTCAGGACGGTGGAGGCGCATGAGTTGCGAGTGGGCAGCGAAGTGACTGGCATTCATTCTCAAAGCTATATAGAGTTGGAGTTTGCATGTTTTTTTTTATGTGAACATGGTGCTTGCAATTGTTTGGATTCAGAACTCTCCCTCCCCAATACTCGCTTTAGGCCCGCACAGGAAAGACTTTCCAACGTTCTCGTTTCGTCTCAATCGGGCAAACCCTCCGGAAGCCCCAGCAAAAAAGCGTTCCTAGCGACATTGGATATAATATGAAGATAACACACACAACAATGCAAAACAACATAAAATAACTCAAACACATCTGAGGTGATCTTGGATTGCTCACGAGCTACTGGCACCATCACATCCGTAAAGTGGAGGCACGAGCCGACCATCGTGTTGAAGATTGGCTTCAAACCCGACTTCCCGGTGCCGGCCTTCGCGCGCCCACCAGCCATGCTGAGCAAAGGCTTTCGCTCAAAGCCGCTACGCCGTGGTTTGAGGAAGGCTCCAGGGACATCTGAAGATGCCCCGTCCATTCCGGACACGGAGGGCCATTTGACTCCTTGAGCAATCCACACTCCCATAGATCAAGATCCCTCAGCTGAACCCCAAAGAATCCAATGCGCCGAACACAAATACACGTCTTTGCGTTTGGAATGCCTGTCATGATTTCCTCCCGAATCTACCAATTTGTTGGTTGTTTTTGATCGTGGTGTACATGGGGTGGGGTTGCTCAATCTGCACCTATTCTCAAGATGAGTAGCTTTGTATAGCTTGGAATTGAGATTGCTGGGTCTGTTTCCCCAAACTTGTGCAGATCTTTGGCTGCGTGACTTGTGGCCAAGCATTGCACGGTTTAGACGCAGCAACTTCGTGCACCTGCTTGTGAGCACACATCATTTGCTGTGTTGTGCCTATTGCAGATCTAATCCTTAGTGCAACTCGATTGTGTGCCACTGCCGGCCTGAAATTTATAAGTATGGCCTTGGCACAGGTTGCGCGTGCCTTGTGAGTTCTGTGAGCTCAGACGATGTACTGTATCATGATACAGTTTGCTTCAACTTGGAGACTATCCGTCCTTGTCCATGTTTTGTGGGAGTCGGCACTCCCTGTCCAAGAAGTCTCTACAGTCTCTACCAGGAACATGCTGCCAGACTGCGCCGATCTACCCCCGTCCCAGTGCCTGGGAAACACAGCAAGCTCCTTTGGTTAGCGGGTGCGAGTGAGCAAGTAAGCGAGTGAGAGCCCCCCCGCCAACCTTGAGAAACTTGAACGTATCGTATCCATCTCTCAAATGGAGGAGAGGTGGAGTTCCAGTTGCTACACATTGTGCCATATCCCCAAATGTATGCCTGTGCTGAGCTTCTGTTGCCCCCACTGCCCAGGCAAGCATGCATCTCAGCAGCAATGGCTACGAACGACCTGTGGAGTGAGTTGCATCGGGTCGATGTAGAGGGGTCCTTGGGCAATACCAGCGCCAGGAAGACCAGGAGATAGGGAAGGATCGTTTGGGGAGGCATCGGCTTTTTAGAAAAGCTTGCCGGTATCAGAGCAGCACCCAGAGTTTTGTAGAGAGCTGGGGCACGTCGAGTGAATTTCTGAGACTCTTGCTTTGTTTGCCAAACCACGTTGTCCATCGAAAGATATCGAAATCTCCCGAGAATCCATCGAACAGAAGCGTATTGCATGCATTTACCGCCCATGGAGGGGAACCTCTTAGCCGCCATGATTTCCCGTGTAGAACCTGGTTGATCAACTCGGCGGTCCCCATGGTCCAGCCACCCCCCCGGTGGCAGCGGAGTTTCTCACCAAGGCCTGGCTCTCGGATGGCAACGTGCCACCCGTGATGGCGCCCAAGGTCGCACGAGTGGAACACACGAGTTGGGAGATGGCAGGGGGTCCGGACGGGGGGTGGGGCCGAGCCAACGGCCGAGGCAACGGTTTAGAGCTGGTTTTGGAGAGTCAGACGCCCAAAACAGATCCAACATGTCAAGGACAGATGAGCGGTACGATAGTCAAGTACTTTTCTGCAAAGCATATTCTGCCTTGCCAGGAGCATTTGTCCGAGGAGCTGAGGGCCAAGTTGGAGGACTGTGGCCCATTCGGCCGGCCTAGCGGCAATGCTTTACTTGGAGATCTCTGAAATCTTGTTTACCATGAATTGGGCATTGGCAGCATTCTTCAACTTCACTGCTATTAAATAAATTAGGATCTATATATATATATATGGTTTGTATACCTCCCTTCTATTTTGCTACATACGATTTGGATCGATTTGGTGGATAGCCAGCCAGAGTCCGGAGTTGTGAGCTCGCCGCCTTGATAGTTCCCTTTATCAAGCTCAAGACAGTTGACACGATTAGGCCTACACTCTCACAAGACATTTGCACTTTACCACCCGTAATCCCTGTTGCGACCATCAGTGCTGTGGGGGTGACTGTTTTGGGCCTCAAACGTGACACAGCACGCGCGGTGTTCACCGCTTCCATGGCTCGATCTTGGACTCCCGTGTTGGTGGCCAGCGCCTCTGCCGGAGCAGTTGGCGCCTTCTTCTTTTGGCGCTACACACGGGCCGCGAAGGCTCATCTTCATGTCGAAGAAGAGCCACAAGAGCCCCAGCATGAAGATCCAGAGAAAGAAGAAGGGTATGTTGAGGAGCCTCAAATACTTGAGATCGACTTCTGCGTGGAAGGTGAGTTGCAGCAATGTGAGCATGCCTTGGGCGTAGTGCAATGCCTACGCGCGGAGAGAGGCTCCAAGCAGAATGTCGAGTTGGATGCTGCGATCAGCGCATTGGACGAGTTGCTTCCGCAGTATGCAGCCAAGCTGCAGGAGAAGCGTTGGCTCGCCTCAAAAGCATCGCTTCTGGACAGCACCTCAGAGGCTCTTCAGCTCCTCTTGCTGGCAGATGATGAGCAGAACCTGGAGGCAGCGGCAAAGAGTGGCCGAGACATCCCAGAACTCGTTTTTGCAGCACAATCTTTGAACAAGATTCTCACTTCCAGTGGATGCTGTGGAGGCGGAGGAGGCTGCAGCAGTGGAGGTGGCTGTGGTGGAGGTGGCTGCGGAAGCAAGAGTGGAGGGGGGCTGTGGTGGAGGGGGCTGCGGCAGTAAGAGTGGAGGAGGTGGTTGCGGCAGCAAGAGCGGAGGCGTCTGTGGCGGAGGTGGCTGCGGCAGTAAGAGCGGGGGAGGTTGCGGTGGCAAGAAGAGTGAAGGAGGCGGCGGTTGCGATGAGAAGAAAGGCGACTGCGGTAGCTGCAGCAAGCAGGGTGGTTGCAACCAAAAAGCAGAGGCTCCCCAGACGAAGGTGAACGACGCTGGGGTGGTGCGTGTGTTTGCGTGAACTTGCACGAGCGAAGTGTTTAAGCCTTTCTCCTGCCATGAGCGTAGGAAGGATTTTGGCCTGCGAGACAGGCAGTGTTCCACCGTGAAGTTCCCCTGATGAAAAAAGGGTCAGAGCAAAGTCAGATCTGGAAAGCTGATCATCAAGGCCTCAAAGGACCAAACAAATAGCCGTAGCCAAGCAAATAGGTCATACATCACATGATTCATCGTTGCAGCTTCTCATGCTAGCTGTTCTTCCCACCTCAGTGCCACTTCAGTGTCATTCTCGACGCAGGAAGAGCGACGAGCCAAGACCATGCTGCCCGTGGGCGACCGCGAGTTCAAGGGAGGCCGTTCAAGCAGCGCTCAAGCGTGGCTGGTAGTTGTTGCCCAGACTCGCTTTTTGTGCATTTTGATGCATTTTGGACATCCTTTTTGTGGGAAAGAGGTGAAAGAGGGAGGGTTTGAATGATGAGCCGCCATGTCCATGTGACCTCCAACTACTCCAAGGAGGCCATGTGCAGTCTTCGTTTGCAGGGCACGTCATGGGTCAACTGGTGCACCCCATTTTGACAAATTTTGATTACTCAATTACTTTGAGACTCCCTTCATCACGCTGTGCAGGCTCCCTCTCGGCAAGCACTGGGCATGTGCCAACAGCAGTTCTGGCCACAGTATCGCCCATGAGGCGATTCTGGATGACGGAGGTTCTTCGAACGGGATGACCGACACGTTCCCCATCATGAGCCTCACAGGCACAATGTATTTTGCATGTTTCCATATTATTCCATATTCCCGATGTGAATTTTGGTGGAATACGTCCTTTCCAAGTCTGAAAGTGTCTAATTCATTGTTGCACACCAGGCAGACGCCACCCTTGTCTGCGGTGTTGGAATTCTTGAGCTCTGCGACGGAGGGGGTTGGGTTTCACCCTTCCAATCTCCTTGGGAAAAAGAGGGATGTCATACATTGATACATACTGCTAGGCAGTTGTGCAACTCAGAACGTGCTAATCATCACGTCGCCACAAAGGTCAACTGGCTCATTTGGAACAGGGCAGGTCCTGGTAGCAGGTCACCATGGGAGATGAGAGAGAATTTCCTAAGTGTTCTCTCGTGGACGATGCATTTGAGCACTGCAGGCCGATGGCCCATGCCTTGCCCACCTGGTCAACGGCTCCAATCCAGGGTGCGTGTTGAGAACTGCGGAAGGGGGTTGGTGGTGAGGTGAGGTGGTGGAGTCCTGGAGATTCTTGTCATTCATAAATCACACGCATCCGTTCATGATATGGGCTATCCAATGGAGGTTGGGGTCACTTGACGCAGTGAGCAACATTGTAACATCGTGCGCATTGGTGGGAGGTTTTGACCAATCAACAGGGAGAATCCTGTTTGCTTGGATGGGCAAAGTTTGACCAAGCAACATGTTCCTAATCATTGGTCACTTCTAACATCATCAAGCGGATTTTCCGCTCGAAGGCCTCACTGCAGATGGTGAGAGAGTGGGACCAATGCATGTTGAATCCTTTTGTTATCTAAAGCAGTTTCGCATCCCTGGGCGTCAGACTTCCGCTTGGTCAGGTATCATCACCAAGCAGATGGCTACGCCACACACACCTTTGATGAGACTTAGCTTGCAATGGAAACTGCTTTGACATTTTACTGTACATGTCTGACACAATATGTCACAGTGACTGGACAAGCAGCTAAAGTTTAAAGGACTCATTAGTACCGCTAGAGGGGTGTGCGCTAGGCGATGCAATAGTTTAGCCTTCGGGTGGATGCTGCAAGTGGTGGTATGAGTTGGCACTTTCTGAGACGCCGAGGAGAGTCCGAAGTCCTTCAGGACGATCACCACGAAGCTTGGCTGATCAGCAGCTAAACTGAGGGAGTGCCCCTACATTCGCTCCAAGAACAGTGACCGATCCGTGTTGTCGTTCGCGATCCGATTCATGCGTAGTCAGTCGAAGTTGGCATCATCGCCGTCACACATGTTTTCTTCCCCATCGACGTCCGCAGGGAACAACATGACACCCTGTTAGTACAGGAAGTCCCGCCCTAAATCGGAACATGCGTCATCCTTCGTGAGTCCTGTGCCAAGGTCAAAGCTTTGCCGACGTCTCGCAAGCGGGGTGCCCCATGGAGGCTAATCGTAGCGTCTACCAGATGGGCCCAACGAAGAAGTGAGGCCAAGGTCACCCTATGTCACCCTTGCCATCCCTTGCCTCCGAAGCTGCATTGATCGTCAACGAATGGAGGTGCAAGACCATCCCGGAGACCGGGTATGTGTGGTTCATCACCCCACCGAGGCCCGTCGCCGCCCTCCACCCCACCGAGGCGGACCGACGCAGCCGCGTCTTCCAGCCACACCGGAGCGCGCAGAGGACGGGAAAGTGGCAGAGAGGGAACTTCGGAAGGGGCGGTTCTTTCGGAGCGAGTGCTCAGTCCGGGTGGCTGTACAATGTATGTTCCATACTATTTCCATGAAGATCCAGGATGTGCTTATCAGATGTCATGAACAATGGGACATGTGACTTCATCATTCAGTTCGGGCAAGGCTGCATCCATCTTGGTGAACATATCTATATAACTCTATATATATAAGTATAGATTGCTTTGGCTTTTCCATTGGTCCATTGAAATATGGGCTCAGCCACAGTCACCGATAGATCCTCATTCATGGGATCAGGAGCCATGTCCAGATCATCTGCTGCTGATGCCCCTGCCCCTCGTGCCGCTCCCGTTGTTTTCCCTGCCGCTGCCGCCCGCAGTCTCACACCAGATAGCGAAGAGGATGGGCTCACTGGCAGGTTCGGCGGGCGCAGTGCAATCAGATCAGCTGTCGCTGACCCCGACTGGCGCAAGAAGTTGGTTCCCACAGAGTATGAACGACGCTCCTGTGCTGGCATGGGCCCTCGCATTCGTGCCATGGAAATCGCCGAGGCACGCAGGGACCCCAAGGTCGTTCTGGGAGATGAACTCTCTGGCGCTGCGGGTGCCAATGATGCTGCGAGGGTCCGCTCCTTGCTGGAGCGAGGTGCTGACCCCAATCATGTTCACTTCACCGTGTGCTCGGACGTTCCGCTGTGCCGCACCAAGAGCCCTGAAGTTGCCAGACTGCTGGTGGAGCATCCGCAGATCGACGTGAATATCAAGGACATCAATGACTACAGCATTTTGTCCAACATGGTGCTTCACAACCGTGCGAATGTGGAGTTGGTGTCTGTGCTCCTTGCGCACAAAGATTTGGACGTTCATGCGGGTCGACCCATCAAAATTGCGGCTCGCTTTGGCACCTGCGACATGCTGAGGACTTTGTTGGAGCACCCCAAGTTGGATATCAATGACGCATGTGGATTGCTACACTATGCTGTGTGCCGCACAGATTCCGCCTCCGTAGAAACTGTCAAGTGGCTTCTGGACCATGGGGTGGACCCCAACCTGCGGCAAGACGACAACGGCTCGACAGCCTTGATGTGGGTCGGTGGGTGGGACTCCTTGACCATCGAGATCGGTGAGAAGGAAGCGGTGAAACGAAGGCAAATCGCTGCGAGACAGGTGGAGATCCTTTCCACGCTCCTGGCCCGGAGTGACCTGGACGTCAATGCCACCGACGCCCAGAAGCGAACAGCTTTGCATCGGATGAGTGTGGCTGGGCGAGTTGATTTGGTGGAAGTGTTGCTGCAGGATCCGAGGGTCCTTCCTAGCATTTGGCACCAAGACTCTGACGGAAAGACACCGTTGGATGCTGCCGTCGAGGCCTTTGAGAAGGAAAAGGAGAAAAAGAAATGGGAAGTACCTGCATACCTCAGCAAGTTTGAGGAGGTCATTGCACTTCTGAAGAGCTTTGCTGAGAAGAAACGGGCAGAGCTGGAAAAGCTTGTTCCTGGTGAACTCTCAAAGCATCCAGGGACATGGTCGATGGCCGTGCAGTCGCTTTGAGATCTTTGAGACTGGGGTTTTGAAATCCTTGTTGCTGCGCACAGCTTCAAGAACTTCAAGGGTCTTGAAGACTGCATCAATCTAATAGCAGCCTTAGCAACTAAGCACGATGCTGTACAGTCATGCAACTAGCTTATTTGCCACTTGATGATTTGAATCTTTGTGTCACTTGAAATGGAAGCCGGGAATTGCACATTCTTGGTGTTCGTTCGGTCATTGCAATCAGCTCTTTGACACAGTCTGAGACTGCGACCCACAATGATTTCTTTGTGATGGCATGTGGTGTTCTAATATATGTTCTAATTCTTGTTTCGACGGTGCCTTCAGTGATCTTTAGTCTTTAGTGTGTTATGCAAGTTCCTCCTTCCCAAACCTCACTTGCGTATAGGCTTCCATGCTCATCTCAAGATCCGTTTTGTACACTTTGCCTGCTCGAGGACAGCTTATGCCGGTGGATATGCCTTGACCCGAGACTATTCCATAGATTCCAGAAAGTATTTTTTGGATGGTGGCAGATGCTTGGCTTGGATGCCATGGATGCTGATTGCACGGCAGCGATTCAATTGCTGACTTCATTTGCTTGCATAACCTTCACCTGCCCAGTTCTTGGACTTTCCTCTCCCATTTGTCCCATTCTGGTGTGTTGATTTCTTTCCATTAAGTGTTCACCCGTTTTCACCATTTCGCTACCCCAGCCACCGGGTTACCGCCCTGACCGCGCTCCAGGTGGTGGCCACCGCCCACAGCCCGGCGCCCATGGCCCGAGGCTCCTCGGGCGCCATGTCGCCGCCGGCGCAGGAGAACCGGTTCCCGGCAGGTCGAAGGAGTAGAGCAGGGTCGGTGCATGAGGAGAGATGGGGAGAGGCATATTTTCGGGCACATATACTTGGCATTTTTGGTGCGCAATTCTTCACGAAACTGTGGACTTGGACTTGAACCCCTTACCGTAAGTTATATACACGTCCGGAAATAGTCATGGAAGTGGAAAATTGCCGGTTTCTAGGACAGGGAGCCATGCCATCCACTTCCACAATTAATTCCACAAAATGTGTTTTTTTTAGGGTGTTGGGGTGGGGCGGTACGGCGTTACGCGTTGTGAGTGGTGATAGATGGTGATGGTGACCTTTTTTGTTTGACTAGTTGAGTAGTTGGCGGGCTTCGATGGAACGTGCAATGGTGCAGCATCTCAGCTGTGATGGCGCACTCGAAGGAGAAGCTGGGCATGACATCGACAAACTATTATAGCGGCGTGGTGAGAAACATCGGATGAGGGCATTTCTCACACAGGTGGAGCCTCCTTCGACTTGTGGATTGGTTTCTCACCCTGTTCAGGACTGAAGGTTCAAACTTTGAAGCAGGAAGGGATGTTGGTTGCAACGACTTGGAGACATGGATTCCACATGAATCATCAGGCTTTGCACAGAAGTCGGTTGAACTGCAGGTAGCCTGTGGCACGGTATGCATCACTATGCATCCAATCATTGCAGCGCAGTATTTCTTTCTTAAATGTGTTTACTAGGAGGAGCTGTTCATTTGCGCTTGCAGATTGCTGGATGCTTTCTGATTTATACCACGGGTTCGCCACAGTTTGGTTGGTCATGGTGCCTCCTGCAAAGGTCCAACCCAGAGCACTCGTTCAATCCTCCTTGCTTGGTCAGGTTTGCCGCTTCATTGTTGGGAGGCTGTCTTACCTTTGGCCATGTATATATTTTCCTGATGTTTCTCCTAGCTTGCAGACATGCAGATCCACATGCTTCATGGCAGAAATAAAGCATTCACAAGAAACATGTTTTCCAGATGAGGATGTCCCAGCTGAGGCCAAGAAAACCGGATCGGCTTTGTGTCCACACCACGGCGCGGAGAGATGATCTGAGATGGCAGTCAGGGAGGGACGACGGTTGTTTGGCCTTAGACACCCAGAGGTTGTGTGTTGGCGATTGTTGGCGGAGTGGACTACTCTTTGTAATTTCACGATTGTTTCGGAGAGGGTATTTTCGATTAATTCGTTTCTACTCCAGCATGTGAACTCAACTATGCTGGGCACGTCTTGCGCCATGTATCGCATGCTGGTCTCGCGATATGCAGGTGGACACGCTAAGCTGCTACTAGTATGTTTGTTGCCAAGGCTGTAGTTTCGTGAGGTATTTGGTGGGCGTATAAATGTCATATATTTAGAACAGCAGTGATTCAAGTGACAATCTGATGATCTACGAAGGAGCCGTGGACATGTTGTGAATCCGTTCCAGCTGCGGTTGTTGGTCGTTTGTGCAGGGCGAACAATCGTCGCACCTCTGCGGCACCGGCACCTTTGCCAATGGTCACTGGGTTGGCAGATGGATGCATGGCAGGGGCAAGGGCTGCTTTTGGCCTAGGGATAGGGTGTTTGAGAACCCTTTGTCAGGCACAGCATTCAAGAGTCTTTTGTGACTTTTGGTAGTGAAAATCGTTTGGGTTCTGTTCGGTCGACAGCAAACCCATTGTGGAGTTACTAGTTGCCATTTGGACAGTTCTTCTCTCAGTCAGAGCCTTTCTTATTGTGATTTCTGAGGATGTAAAATGATGTGCACATGGTACGGGAGTTTTTGCAGTTTACATTGTGTTGCCACTCACCCTGCAGCAGGTTGAAACAGAGGCACGTGGGAGGCCTTTGTGGGCCTTCGGTCAGAAGGCGCGGACACTGGCTGCGAGTTCCCACGGCCCGCTTTTAAGGGGGTCCTTGGAGTTGGTTGGATTCCAGAAGTGGTTCTGAAGCCATCCTGATGTTGAGAACCGGCTGCATGTCACTAGGAGATACTAAAGGATCCAGGCGGCGTGTTCCAACGAGTTGGAGTTTGGCGCGTTTTCGGAGCGGAGCCAACCGACTGATGTTTTTGTCGGAGGAATGACGTGTCGCCCCCAAAACGGAGGCGGAGGCCGCCTCGCCACGGCGTTGGGGATCCAATGGCTCGGACTACCAGGCAAGGTGAGGGGAAAGACTTGTGGCGGAGGTCCTGCATGGCCTGGGTCAATGACACATGCGATGATGGGGGGTTCTGAAGACTTTCAAGGGTTGCAAGGCAGGGAAGTGCCCAGAATTGGAGAGGTGTGCGATTTTTGTTTCAAGAGTTTTTAAGTTTATGGGAGCTGATATCCAAAAAAAAATAAGCAGATACAGCACGGAATTGAATGAATTGGATTGTTGCTTTACTTACTCTGGCTATCAGAGACACAGCCTTTTTTGCCAAAGACCCCGCCAGCAAGCATGGTGCTTCATGTGGACTGAGGCTCAAGATGGCTCAAGTGGGTCTTGATCCGATTGATTTACTGTATGTTATATATAGTATAACACCCTTGAAGCTGTGCCAGCCCGGATCTCAACTGTTCAACTTGATTGGACACTTCGTCAACCTGGCAATCCCCCAGCAACTTACTACATATACAGACTGGCTTCCACTGACATATCCCATCACTTTTCAATCCCTCCTCACTCTCTTTGTTTATACACCCTCCTCCTCGCGGGCGCCCGATTCGCATCCGCCATGAGATGCCCGGAGCCCCCGGCCGCACCGGCCCCCGCGGCCGGGACGGAGCCGACATGAGCCGGTGGCTCTTGCTGGGGAAGATCGTGTCCTGCGCGGGCGAGGCGACGCTCGAAGGGCGTCCAGCTCCGGCGCCGTTTTTGGACTATGAGTCTTGGAATGCGACCCCTGTGGGGGGGAGGGAAAATGGGAGATGCGCCAATCTTTTTGGAAGGTTTGGGTTTGATACTCGTACCTTGGATTGCTTGCAAAGCAACTTCACGTATTTATTTTATCTTCATCAAAGTCGATTTAACAGCTAAAATATGCCAAAGACAGATGACAAAGTCATTAAGTGCTTGATTGCAGCTGTACATGGCATCAGCATAAATCATCGCGGTGCAACTCTTAGAGTTTTCTGCCCATTCAGATCACCTTTTTGAATGGATTTGTCGTCGGAAAGGGAAGCCGAGTTGAGTCGTGCAATTCCCATCGATGGCAAAAATCACACCATCATGGCCGACTCCGCCGAGTAGACCGGCGGAGGGTTAGGACATAGACCGACTGTCATGGTGTGAATGGCCCTGGGCCCTGGAGTATTCAGGTGGGCACTTATACTCACATTACTCACACCATCTCACGCACCTCTCAGGGCCTTCTTGCCCTAAAATGGCTTGCGTCCGGTGTCGTGACTCAGTGACCCAAACAGAAGCTTGTCCTGTGACATTCTTTCACATGTTTTGTAGGATGTTCTACTGGTGTTTTTGGGTGCCATCAGGCTTGCTGTAAGAGTTCCAAGCAGGTTCCTTCCAGCTTGGGGTCATCAGGCCATGCCCCGGCTCGCCACATCGGACGAATTGACCTGGCTCCGCCGTTTCAGGACTGCGATCTGGCCCACACCATTCCGGGTGCTGCGGCCGATTGGAATCAGGTTTATGCGAGCAGCGTCGCTGGTCGCATGAGACTTGGCGGTCATTTGCTCATGACATCTCATGACATGTTACGCCTTGGCAGGTATCCATCCAACTTTCCAGATACATGTACGTATATGGCCTGATATGATTGATGTCGTATCCACATGTATCCGCTGTCCAGCTGTAATTCCAGGGAGTATTGATCTACGATGACGCATACTGGCAAAGCCCAAAAGGCCCCCAAGGGCCCATTGCCAAGGCCCCCATGCAATAACCCTCGGCGTAGAGGGAAGAAACTGCAGGAGCTCGCACTTGATGGGCGCGGACTTTTCCTTCCCGAAAGGCTTGGAGCATTTGATCCATGAGAAGGAGCAGGATCGATCCAAGTCCCGCACCGACGCCTGGAGAAGTGATGTGGTAAACTGCACCGGATGTATAGCTATATAGCCCTCCCCCCCCTCGGCAGCATGATCAGAATGGGCCAGAATGGGAGTGAGGGAAGCGGAGTGGGAAACAGAGATAGATGGGTCCAATGCTTGCTTTTGAAAGGTTCTACTTTAACAGCAGCAAAGCAGTCGTGTGTTTTCAAGCACTCCGAGGAACAAGCTGCGAAAGAATGTCCGCTGGGTGTTTTGTACTTGAAGATTGCATACTTTTATGGCCACTTAGCAGTTGACTGCAGTAAGGTTTTCTATGTTCTTGAGGCTCCACCTATGTACCCTGGACTCCTGGACCATGGTTTTTCGATGTTTTTCGACTCTTGGACGCCCGGACAATCCCGGACTGTGGTTGGTGGCCAAATCTTTGCAGCCACGTTTTTTCCCTCTGAAAAGGCGAAGACATACGCAGCCCAGGAAACATCGTGCATTTCTATTATATATATATAGTTATAGTTGTATATATATATATTGTTGTTTTGGTATGTGTTTGTTTTTCAGTGAGCTGGGACATGACACTGTTTGTTTTGTTGGTGGGCTCGACTATTTTTTGCCATCAAACTTTAAAGTTGGATGATGAGCGATCCCAATGACTCATATATTGCACGGGTGGGTTGCAAGCGAAGCCCACTTCATGAGTGGCCAATCAATTCATGGCAGTCAGGTCGGAACGGAGATGCATGTGAATTGGATGTCATTGATACCGATGCCGCAGAGGAGATTCAGAGACTCCTCAGTGGCTCAGCTCTGACAAAGGATTGTACATCATCATATTTGGGGTCGGGTATGTATATCCCATTACAGTATAGGCCATTGCCAGTAACAGTTGGTAAAAGACTATCACTCTTCTTAATTCTTGAGTGAAGACCTTCACTGACCTATATAACCACCTTCATCCACTTGGCCGTGGTCATGGGGTTCCGAGATAAACCCAAATCATCAGGCAAATCATCAGGCCGTGGTCAGAACCCAAATCATTCAGCAGTTTGATACGTTTTGCCTTTCAATGCTTCCGCCTTTGGACCGTCGGGGCTAGAGCAGTGCTTTAAGATTCTCCCAAAAAGTCCAATGCTTCACTCAATTGAGTTTGGCCCCCTCTTTGGCCCGGTCACTCACTTCTTTCCCTTGGATGATCCACCTGACCCCACTTCCAGACATGGTGTCACCATATAGTCCTTCATTTTCCTTCCGACCGTATCAACATTGTAGGCCTTTACCCCGCCTACGTGATGGCGCTCTCCCGGTGGCCCATCTTTCCAGTCTTGGCCTTCTACCGGCCTTTGCATCAGAGCTTGGAGAACTTCACAGGATCCATGGCCTGCGACAACGTCAAGGGAGTCATCGACTGGGACCATTGTCGAGCTCCTGGGCGAAGAGCAGAATTGGGTACTGAAGTGTCAGCATAGGCTGGTGCATGTGGGTAAGGCGGGGGTTTGAGCAGTGGAGGAGAGAACGGGAAGATTGAAAGTCGCTGGCAGGGTTGTTTGCATTCTTGGACAACTTGTGATTCATGGTTGCAGTATAAGTCTCCGCAAGTATCTACACACAAGTGATCTAATTAGGATTAATTAGGCATATTGGCAGAATTATGAAAGAATCCTACTGGACATGTTTGCTGAAGGGTTGCACTCCTTTGGAGGAACCTGGCACCTGTAAATGTGGGGTGGGAAGGAAATAGGAAACAAGCATCTTCACACACGTGCAGCGATACTGATTATATACATTTTTGAAGGATTGATATGCTCCTTTGGATTGCAATATACTTGTCCATTGAGACCAAGGCACTCACAATGATAGATATTTGATATTGTCCTGATCCTCAACACCTGGAAGCTTGTCCCTTTTTTTTTGGGGGGGGGGGGTGCGAACCGTAGAGAACACACATGGGGTCACAATGGGGTCAACATTACAACTCATGACCCAGGCTTAGACCTTGGAGGCCTGAAGTAAAGCCCGGGCGGCCTGAAGTAAACAGGAAGCCTCACGCAAGGCCTGTTCTATGAACACCTGTTATTGTGACTCCCGTGACCGTCCAATCCTCAGGTCCAGGCTGCCCGGTGGATTGAGCTGCAGTTTGGGGTGAACAAGACGGAGGAGGAAAAAGCAGAGTTCCTGGGTGCTGATGGATGATGTGGAGGTGAAGAATCCCACTATCTATATAGATGCGGCTAGCAAGCTTAGTTCACAAGGTGTGACGAGCCAAGTCGGTTACAATGGATGTTTTTGTATCAGTCGATCTTGTTGCTTAGCAGGCATGGGCTACCATAATGACCAAGTGGGAGAAAGCACAGCATTCCGAGAAGCCGGTCATGCTTGACTTGGGAACCTAAGGTGATTGACAACACATGACCGGCCAGAAAAGTAGGACCAGAGTTCGCTCTTGGATACTATTGGCTACCTTTGCTTCGTGCACAAGCGCAGCTATAGACAAGAAAACGGCCTCCAAGTTTCGGTCTCACATGCAGTCGCAAAGACTTCAGCATTAGTTTCAGCTTGTTTATTCATGCTTTCTGGCAGACATGCTTAGAAAATAATCGCAAGCAATCTCAAGTAAATTGGAGCTTTCTCACCATCTCAAACGACGCTTCTTTTGATCATATCCGAGTCCTTCCCAAGGCTCATTGAAGTCCAACAAGACATTGCAGATCAATTCTACGTCGTTCTGCGAAAGGCGGGTCGGTAGAACCACGCGGCCCTATGGCCGGATGGCGTTTTCAAACATTCATGGATTCGCATTCAAACAAGAAGCTACTAGGAGCAAAGGGCATCGCTACTAGTAACAAGTGCCTCACTAGTAGTAACAAGAAGCTACTAGGAGCAAAGGGCATGAGACGAAAGCAGCTGAGACGAGGAAAGCACATGATGAGTTTTGAGGAGCCAGTGAAGACCAGTGGATGGAGATGGTTTTTCATGCCGCTGTGGCTGTGCATAGATTGGATGGTTCAATATGGTTCAATTAATCATCCTACACATAATTATATATACATCTATTTACAGATACATCATTGCTCGAAAAGGCTCAGGATGGAGGTCATGTGCACTGAAACTCTTCTCGGTGCTGGCTTGGCTACTGCAGTTTTTGAAACAACTGACTATGCTTTGATGGTCAGAAGATGGCTGTGTAGAACGGCGGAGTGTGCAGGAAGCTTCAAATAACTTTGTGTGTGTGTGTTTCGCACCGTGCCAGGCGCATCGGCAACAGCAAGCCTACGAGGCGGGTGTCTTGTCGAAGCACTGTGCAGTGGTTTCGGAGTAGATGGCACAACGCCCAAGACTTTTGGATGATAAACAATCGTTTGTGGACGGTGCCATCTACTCTGAAACCACTGTAGGGCTGTCAACTTTGGTAATGTGAGGCTTTGGCGAATGCAGTGTGGACTCCTTGCGCCAGGAATGTCCGTTTGGCTTCTTCTACTTGGCCGCAACGCAACTGGTGGCGGCAGCTGGCAAGGGCACCAACCACATGCCTCCTTTCAGTCGTATCATCGATGAGGTCGTCTCCGATTTGCCTTTTATTCAGGCGTGGGTTCAGAAGTGTCTTAAGACTTTTCAACAAGACATCAGAGGACCTTGTCTCCCTGGGAAGCTTTGCCTCAATTGAAGGAAGTGTCGGGTCTAGCACTACCATCCAAAATGCTACAAGGACCTCTCAATATAATTAGCAGATCCTGTCGCAATTTTTTTGATCACTCAGGAGGACGCACAAACAAGATCAAACAAGATCAAACAAATCTAAAGTTTAAGGGCCAAAAGTGTTGTTTAGTTTCGTGCGTGAGGGGGCGTCTTCTTGTAAAGACAGCAGAAGGTTTTCTGCTTGAGTCAGGCAGTCGTTTAGTCTTCCTGACTTGCTAGGTCAGCAGTTCTCCATGGCCCGTGTGGCACGTGCTGGCCATTTTTGCCGACATGAACAAAGGCCACATGAATGAACTAAGGACTATAGCCTAAGATTGTTTGTTGGTTTTCCTCAGTTGTTGGGCTTAGAACCTAAATCTTGAGCCATGTGATTGAATGTTTTTGTTTTTTTTGTTTGTGTTATTCTTGTTGATCAATGGATCTCCATGGTGTGTTGTGTACTTGAGTCCAAGGCACCTGGTTTTGGGGCGGTGATCGGAAATACTTCCGGGGCTATAGCGATTGGAACCTACGACGGGATGAGCTCCTTGGGCAAAGGACGTAGGGCTTTGCGGTGCTAAGCAGTTGGAGACCAGTGGGACGGAGGGGTGTGCTGGAATGATCATTCTCCTTTTGCAACGTGGGTTTGCTCCATTTCTAGGCAGATTTTGGGAGAGTACAACATTGTTGTTTTGGGTTTTTGCTTGCTCGGATGGACCATTGGCCAGGATTTTTGGATCCTTGGCCTGCCTGTTGCCTCTCTTTAGGGCCATAAGTTTAGATAGTTGTTAGATGTTATTAGAGAGCCACCAGCCGAGGTTGCATGTGCAATTGAAGCCTCCACCCTCCCACAACAACATGTCACAAGTAAGCCGTTCAAAACCCTACTCTGACCCTCAGTTGAAGAAACATGGAGGTTGGGAGACATTTGGGAGATGGATATTGTATGCTAGCTGCTAGAACGTTCCGATGCCAGGCACAAATGCGGATCATGTTGTGCCAAGTTGCCCAAGGCTTTACCAGAAAGGCCCATGAGACGTGAGGTGGTCCAATGAGTCGCTTTCCACCGAAGACGCTGAGGTTGAGCCCGTTGATCTCGCCGCGTTTGGAGTTCCTCAGCTACGACTGGCAGATCGAGGCCATGCTGAAGGTGGAAGCTCTCAAGGCGATGAGCCACAAGGACTACATGCAGGCGGGAGTTTTCGAGGGTTTGGGGATGTGTTTGGGTTTGTTCACCATCAAGGGGGATATATATATATATACAATATATACAGTATGGTATATTTATATATACACACTATAGTGTGCTGGCCGACACCTCAAGCATGGAAATCACATATTTGGGGATGATAGTGACATCCGAAATCAGGCCTGTTCGAAGGTTCTTGGGCAGGTGATCTTATGTCCAACCCAACCTGGCAGGTGTGAGTGATATATTGAGTGATATAGCGTAGGTATTGTTCAGGTGTGGAATGTGATGGAACCAAAGATTTGTCAGCAAGATCTTGTAGCCACAAGGTTACTTCCACAAGAACAACACTGGTCATTAAGATAAACACACACACAAACATTAGTAATTAGTCTTTCAAGACCAGCTTCCTCATTCCAAAGATGTCAATCGAAACCATTCTTTCCCTGTGTTGCAATGTTTGCAGTGACACAGGACTTTTCAGGTCATGCCGCATGGCTGCGTGCCTTGTCCATCCACCGGTCGCCCCGGAGTCGTGTCTCGCGAGACGACCCGATGCCAGGCACTTCGGAGCTGGACCCGAAGCCGGGAAGATTCCTGGGGGCCGTTGAGGCGGAAGTGGAGAAGGACCATGTGGGAACCAGATCAACATCAGAACAGATATTGGAACCGAAAGTCTTTAGCATATACCTATATTTTTCCATTATAGTTATATATATATACTTACAGTATGTTTTTCCTTTTTTTGTTTTGTGTGTGTGTTTGCGTGTCCGTGATTAGGTTGCAAAAATGCGGATTACGGGCACACGCCCACCAAATTAGAGGACACAATTTTCCCTTTCCTCGTACAAGTAACGAAGTCATTTTCCATTGCCTCGGGGTTGTTGCCATGGTCACGTTAAAAAATTATTGAGCCATGCTGTTGCATTGCAGAAGGGCAGTAGATTAGGAGGGGCTTCACACATTTCTGGGAGCAAAGATGCATGCCTACCAAGCACCTGCACCGACTAGAACATTCATGGCAGCGCAAAACACTCAGCGGCAACTTGCAAGGGAAAATATTGGAAAATGACCCTAGCCCGAACACTTGAGGGCAATTAGGGCTCGGTCTTTGGAAGGGTTCACGCCTTTTGCGGAGGCCCATTGTGATGGGGATGATCGATGCCGCCTCCACCATCGCCGCGCGGGCTCAGCAACATCGGCTGGAGCGGCGCCTGGCTTACGTCGCCAGGGGGCCCAGAGTGTCCGCATGGACGTTGTTCAAGATCTATAAATACATTTTGATGATCTATCGCGTATTCTAAAAAATTGAGTCATGCTTAGCTTCAGCAAGTGCAGAACGGGTCCTACACCCAGGTTTGAGGCCAGACGGATCCCCAGGGTACTGCATGTAAGGCCTTTTTGGGGGAGTCATTATGGCCACCGGCCTTCACAGAGAGTCCTTGGGACATTTGGGGACCTTCCAACCTACTCTAGCGACGAGGTCAGCCAACCGCCCCAGCTGGTGCTGCCCAGGTTCTGCTCTACGGAGATAGCTGGGCTGATTTGCTGGGCCGTATGACCAAGCGGAGCCTTGGCAAAAGGATCCAAGGATAAATCAGTCAGACATACACCACGCACATGTGAGTTCGGTGAGCCTGCTAGCGAGCAGCACTTTGGCATGCATTCCCGACAGGCATGAATACAGTCATATTGTGTGCATATCATAGTTCTTTCTGCGCTTCATCCATCCACTCCTTGCATCCACGTACGTAGCATACTTGTCTCTGCACCCATGGATTCCCGTGTGACTGTTCAGGATGGCGCAGCTGAGTTTCCAAGATCCTTTGTTGGTGATTGCCATCGATGAAGCAGCGGAGGTTTGCCGAGCACTAGGCGGCCGAGAGAGAGGGATTGCAGCGTGATGTTGATTTCAAAAAATATTTCAGCATGATTTCAGCATGTTCCTTACTAGTAGTAACAAGAAGCTACTAGGAGCAAAGGGCATCGCTACTAGTAACAAGTGCCTTACTAGTAGGAACAAGAAGCTAATGTTGTCGGCATCGGGTCAGATCACCTAAGTGTTTGTCCCGCAGGGCGACAGAGCGAGGATGTGATTTGCTGGGTGCCAGTCGCCAAGCTCGCAAATACGAACGGTCCATGCTGTCAATATATACCAAACATATATATATATACTGTATACATTACATAAATTAGATATATCATTGTATGTCAATATACAACTCTTTGCCATCGCGATCACTTAGGACTTCCTGGTTCCTTTTAGTTCTGAAAGGCCATCAGTAGAACTAGCCTTTCTGCTTATCGAGTTTTTCCCCCGGCCCCGGCTGAGGAGACCGCCTCGCAAGTGCATCGTTTCACTGGCATTCAAGGCAGGAGAACAAAACAACCGTGGCATGCCTAAGAAAGCACAGCTGATTGTCTTGATTATTTGGAATCCCATTTGAACATGATAGTGTATAGTCAATTTGAGGCACACCCGTGCACACCACATCACCACACACCTTAAAACGTACCCAATCAAAGCGTGGAGTCGCTTCATCCCAGTTCATTCCTGCAGGCTTGATTCATTTGGGATGCTTGGCTTGATTCATTCGGTGAGGGTCCCATGAACATCGAGTCGTATGCAAGCACACTGCATCAGACATTGCTCTATCTCTCTGACTTGTAGATACTTCTGGTCTTCACCGATTGTCACCCTTGTCATCCCTGGAGGGAGGAAGGGGTGGATGTTTGGGGTTGACATATTTTCATACGGCCCCGCATTTCAACACATTAACTTTACAAACTGAATCTGCACAACACTCATGGACACTGTCAGGCTGACGCGAAGACTTCAACCATGGGTCTTCGACCCGATTTCACTGCTGGCTTGCATGTCGGGCCACTCTGGGAGGTGAGGCCACACCCTCTCCCCACCTCTTAGGTATTGATGTGATCTACCTGGACATGGACACCTTCCTGCTGCGCGACCCCACGGCGCGCTTCCAGGCGGCTGCCGTTGGCTGGGATGCGCTCTTCGCACGCCACGGGGATGGTGACTGCGTCAACATCGGGGTCTTCTACCTGAAGGCCAGGGACCCACTACTCCTAGCTGAGCAGGTGTCAGTTTTGGGGAACCTCGATAGGTGAAGATGTGCGCGGTCGACGTGTTTTTGCAATCCAAGACTGGTGGTGAAGAGGTGTTCTTTTCATGGATGCTGATCTTGTTTTGGAAGAGATGAGCCGCCGGCTGACATGTTTCGATGTTTCTTCTGCATCCATCCAAGCCGGAGCTCAAGGCCAATGGCCGGACGGCTGTTTGGATGTCGCAATTTCTGGCCTGGTATCATGACCACCCCTTCGAGATCGATCAGCGTGGCCTGCACATCTTCTTGGGATTGCCCTCCATGCAGCTGGAGGTGGATGACTCGAACAAACATGGAAAAACATGGAGAAAACGCGTGCGACACCCGGTCCACACCGGTCCAAACTCTATAGATACATACTGATACTCCCCTTGAAGTTCCTGTGGCACCGCATGGCACCGCTTGGGGTCCATATAGAAGGTTCCTGTTTCAATCCAAATCACTCTCAGGCTCATCCGGAAGGAAGATCGAGAATCGCTCCGCCAGGTGGCGCACATTCCGAAGGACCTCGTGCGGATCCGCGGATCCGTCTTGGAGGACTGGAACGAGGTGGGGGAACACCCTTGAAAAAACCATCCAAACCCATCGAAGCCCCCCGAAAAATGCACGGATTTTAATTGAGTATATCCAATTGGGTACACGTCAAACAACACTTGGTGGTGATGGGAGTTTGCCAGTATCCCCGTCTCAATGTAGATGTTACCGTCGGCTCAGGTGGTCATTGGCGACATAGGCTGGGTAGGAAGCTTCCCCATGATGCAGATCTTCCACTGGTGCCATCGGCCACTGGAGTTGCCTGGAGTTACACATGGTTGGGGAATAGTTAAAACCAAGCTGGATTCTTGCATGTACCATGTGCAAACATCTCCCAAGTCTTGGTGAGACGTTTGCCATGTGTTGCTTTGCTTAATTGTCAGTTTATTTTGACGTCTTCCCAACCAGTAGGCTTGCTTTGACTTTGAACATCCTAAGGTTAAAAGTCCATGAGATGAATTTGGCGTATGACGCTGCTGATGTTTTGGAAGACCATGAGCTCCCACTCTCCTTGGCACTCTCCGTTGGCTCGGGCGCGGTGCCGGACTCTCCATGGGCCAGGGTGGTGGCAGTGGCTCGTTGGCAGCTGTTGCAAGCAGCCTGTGAAACCTCAACACAACTAACACGAGCTCCCACCTAGCAAAAGCACATCAATCAACCAGTTGCCTTCTCAATTTGACCAGATTCTATCTATCTATCCATCTATCTAACATATTATGTAATTATTAGTGCTGCACGCGAACCTGGTTGGACTTCATGAAGCCAAGCTCAGAACAGGGTCAAGCGTCCGCCACGCTCTCAGCTCAAGGTGAAGTTTGTGTTCGAAAGTTACCAGCTGAAGGAAGCGCCTGGGCGTCGAGCTTGCTGGTAAAGCGGCCTTACTCCGGAACCACCCCTGCTACACCCGGGAATCGCGGCCTGGACGGGTCCCGGTCCAGAGGCCGGTGCTGACCACGCAGCGACGACGATCGACGTGCCCACCCAGAGCCGAAGTCACGAGGTGCGACCAGGGTGAGCTGAGATCAGAAGCGCCAAGCTGGAGACAGCAGGGCTCATTGGAGCGATGAAATGCTGTGTGCCAAAAAAGAGAGAGAAGATATTGGGATGAGCTGTGAGGGTGGCAGTGACGGCGGAGTGCTAGAGGTTATGGGCCAAGGTGTGGATCGTACTAAAAGGCTGGTGATCCTGGGAAGAGACACAGTATCGGCACAGGGCCTGGGGCCATGCGAATCTTGTCGCCAAGACATTGCAGGGGAGCGATGGGTTGAGTTCTCCACATGTTAGGCTCAAAGACCAAACCATCCGGGGCAGACGCTGCTTTTGCAGACTTTGCGCAACGTGACCCCACTTGTTCTGGTTTGTTTCGTGAATTTGATTGCATCATCACTCTTAAGTTCTTCCCCTGCGAGTATCAGTGCTTTAATCGTTTTCATTTTGTTCATGTTGGAGATCCCTGAGTTCACGAGGGATTTGCTAAGCAGAGCCAGCTAGATCCAAAACCTTAGGGCCTCCTCTTGGAACGGCAAGGTCCCTGCACCTCGTGCATCTTCACCAGTGCCGGTGACACTCGGGGCGGTGACCAGGGCTCCTCGGCTGTTTTGGATGAGATGAGACATTGTTGGATAATCGTCAGACAAGAACTTGCTGCTTCGTGGTGCAGGATTTCTTCACAGGAATTAGGGGCGGTGATTTGTTGGCTCGGTGTCACCTCTTTGGCACTAACCCCCCAGCACCCCAAATAGACCAAAACAACTCCCAAAACACAAATCAAATGTCTATGGATATGGATTGTTGGTCATCCCTGGGCCGCCGTCACCCAAGGTGCCATCTCCACCACCTGGCGGGCTCGCCTTCATCCCACCCATGCTGGAAAGCAGCCGTCGTGCACACAGTCCCAGGGCTTTGCACTACCAGGCTTGCCGGGGGGGGCCAAGGAGGAGAGACCTTGAGTATCCTTGAGTGTTTTTCGCCAATTTACATTCATATACTATATCTAAATAATATGTACATATATATGTGTTTGTGTTCCTTCGCTCTCTCTCTCTCTCTCACACACATATATATATACCTATATATATGTGTGTGTTATACTGATACTAATGTATAGGTTATTCTTTTGCAGATCGACTCGATACTATGAAGATGTTTGGGCTTGCAGGTTGTCGTGAAACATTCAGAGAACAAATTCGGCATCAGCCTGTGAGGTCTCGCGGTCGCCGTCACCAGCACCTCAGTCGCCAAAAGAGCACCTGCATAGTACGGGCGTGGGTGGGGAAAACATGATAACCGAGACCGTGTATTCTATATGCCTCGTGCCAACTGGCCGTTTGCACCCTTTTTGCGGGAGAGACGCTCGGTGCATCTTGGGGAGGCTGGCTCCCAGTCCCGAGTCCAAGCTCAGCTGTTTGAATCTGTGTGACTGACTGCCTCGTCATTGTTTAGTCCTATTGGTGCTTGAAACGAGCGCTTCAACACACCAAACATCTGGGGCTATGTGGTCCTCGGCAATGATGTGAGTACCCATGGACATGCACTAGAAGTGCAAAACGCTTTCGCAGTTTTCACTTCAAGAGAGGTCAAAGTGCTTCCATTTCCGGTACTCCTCGATGTCGCCGGCCGAAACTGCCCTGTCGTTGCCTGTTCTGTCGGCTTTGGTCGCTCAGGTACCCATCGACCCCGAGATTTTACGGAACCCCATGGGCTTCAGCTGGACGCCGGTTGCAATGTCACCACGTGCTGCCGCGTGGGCCCACGGATGCCTTCAGAGTGGGCCAGACATCTCATCTGAGTTCAGTTCTCCCATGGAAAAATTATCGTTCCAAACATCAATGTACAGTAGCAGAGGCTGAAGAACCCTATAGACTATCTCATAGGTACCCCACTATAAGGTCCTATAATTAACCTCTCTTGGTAGTTTCCGGCTCATTCCACCGACTCCCAAGGCCTCATGTCGCTCTCCTTCCCCGACGCGCGTGGTGCATCCCACCGGCTTCGCTGCTCGGCGAAGTCCTGGCTTTGGCTTCGCTCCGTTTGGGGGCGATGGTGGGGAGGCGTGCGGGAAGTGGGTAACAACACAAGATCAGAGACTGCACCAGGAGTCACGAGAAGGTGTGGCGTTTAGTCCCATCCAATGAGTGGATCATGGGCACCCGTATCCTCACTTTGCCCTTTAAATGCGGGTTGGGAACGCAGCTCTTAGGCAAGCAAGCTTAAGCAGTTTGTGGATTATCGAAGCTGAGTAAGGAGGTTGATAACTCTTTTCAAGGCCTCCAAACATATCAAAGGTCCTCCACCCGCGTTCCAGCAGGGTTGTTCAATTCAAGTTTGAAAACTCATGAACACTCAATGATCCCAACTATTAACAACATGTTCATACCAGCGCCAACCCTTCCCACAGCACATGTTCTTCTCCAGGATCAGGTTATGGAACCTGCTCCCTCCGTGCTCCGCTCGACCAAGGCTTGGCTCCCGGACCCGCCTCGGGCTGCGAGAGCATATTCGCCCTCGCCCATCAGCTTCGCGAGGGCGCCGAGCATGGCCACTCGGACAAGGGGCGCTCCGCCGAAGGTACCGTGTCGGAGGGTCCAGCAGTGGCCGGGTTCGGGGCGGGAGGATGGATGGGAGCACTCAATGGTGCGCTGTGCGTGTGTTGTGCCAGATGTGATTGCTGTTAGCAGTGTAGGGATTGTAGGGGAGGTAGGTGGCAGGATGGATCAGAGCTCGAGAGGTTCACAGCCTGAATGCTGAAGGGCACCAGAATCCGAAGTCAAGGCCACGAGCCTTTATATAATTGCCTTGATATATTAGGTTGTAATTCCAAGTTGGCCCCCAAGGCGCTCGGGGAGAAAGTTTCCGAACGGATCTATCAGCATTATCAGCTTCAGAATTTCCTGCAGGTTGTCAATGGTTGTCGATTAGTACCCATGATGGCACTATTGAGGCGAACCAATGTTGACCACCAGCATCACTTTAGCCAGAGTTCTCTCACCCAAAGGGTTTTGCACTTTATTCCATATGGCATTGGTCCTGGCATTGGTATATTATATGCACTATATAATGATGCATAAAGGGCCTGGGTTTAGGAGCCGGTCCTGGAACGCAACTGCGTCCTTCAGCAGTCCAAACGAGTCGAGATTGACTTGGGGCCCAGTCGTTTAAGGCATCGAACCACGCATCCAGCTCCTTCCGCGACCGCCCAGGCACAAGGACACACCGCCCCCAGTGTCCGGACGTGACCGTGCAGACGGGCCGAGTCGGAAAGGAAAACCGCCGCGAAGTGCCAAAGAGACAACACGTCTTTCCTCGGCTGTGCTTCTACCACGGTGAATGGATATATAGGTGATAAGTTTTAGTTTTTGAAGCCCTGGTCAACGAACAGGACATCACACCACTTTGGAAGATATTGCAAGGCTGTAAGGGCAAGTGATAGGCAGCAATCGTTTGTGCAATGAAGGGGTTGGTCGGTGTCATTTGCGACAGCACCACCGTCTTAGTTTTCGGCGTTTCGGTTCGGCTACTTGTCACAGAAATGATACAAACTAAATTTTGTTCCCCCTAATCTTTCCCAGGCTTGGTACATCCAGGACATTGGCACGGCTGATCAACTCCCCTTACATGAATACCAACAGAGCCCAGTCGGCACTCGGCGGTTAGGTTCCGGCGACTTCTCGGGCCGTTATGCAATGCCAATAAGGGCTGTGGGCGTGCTGCCTCGGGTCAAAGTGTGGATCAAGGATTGCAAGAAACGAGCTTTGGGTCCTAAAGTCTGGGTCTCCTCGTAGGTAGGGGCTTTGCTTCGCAGATTGATCCCCTGCTCGACGTGTCAGTTGCCTTTAGCAGAACTGTTGCGGAGGTGGTTGGATGAATTCACCAAGAGAATGAACCCATGAAGCTCATCATGCTCAGCAGAACAATTGGTTCCAGCCTCCGCAGATAGGCTGCGCAGCACCTGCACATAAAAGATGTGCCAGCTGCGCGCCTCAAAGCACCAGAATTCAGGCGGCTTAAGGAGAGGAGCCGCTTCTAGAGACCGTAGAGACCATCGTCACTTCTCATCAAATCAGATGCCACACACGGTTCCGAGTGAAGAGTGTTTTGGTTTAGCTGTTTGGCACAACTCTGCGTTCCATCAATCACTTTACTTGCGAAGAAGTTGGCTCACACTTAGATTTATTCGGCGAAGTTGCGGTGCACGCACAGCGGGTCAGAAAATCGGGGATGTTCGGCACTTGCCAGATTGAGTTCTGACAGAAGAGGTGCCAAAAACATCTCCAAACCGGGTCTTGCGTTGGGTGAGAGATACGTCGAGATGGTGCTCCTCGGAACAGGGAACAATATGTTTCCCAATATCGGGGAGAAGGGGTTCTCTCCTGGGCGTTCACAATGTGCTTGGCTTTGCTTGCGACAACTTCAAGGTATAGGCCTGATTTCTAAGCTTCTCAACCCTAAATGCTCCGTTGAGTGTTTTATTGCTCCGTAGCCACGTGGTTCAAGACTTACAACTTGCGCGGCGGGTTTCTGTCCAACACACTATTCACGCACCTTGGCGAGATTGGTGGGTCGCAAAAAGCCAACTGTCGCAATTCACTCGCTTCCCCTTGACCGTCTTGGCCCCTCAGGCGGCCATAGGTGAGAGGAGAGCCAGTGAGACCTGAAACCGCCATCAGGTCTCAGCGACTGCAGGCAGCCGTGGCGGCCGTGTGGAGGGGCGAAATAAGAGAGTTCGCAAAACCCAAAGAGCTTGGACAGTTGGCTCGCTCAAGGGTTGAGCGATGTTGAGCTGACTTGATTTTAAGGCTCAACAGACACTTTCGGTGCTTCTAAGATGCCACACTCAGGGCTCAGGGGCCAGAATCCAGAGGACAGACTTGC